CTTTCGTGAACGAACACTGACTGCCACATTTCAAATGAAAAAGTAAAGTCCATTTGCAATTCCAACTACATCTATAAAGTATGAGATCCGCTGGTCCCGTGCGCCTTTAAGAAAATGCAGACAAATCATCGGATATAGCGGACTCGCATATAACAGAATTTCGCTTATAACGGACAAACAATTTGGTCCCCAATGCCGCTTTTAGCTGTAGTTTTGTTCGGCTATAACGGACATGCAGGCTCCGCCTACAAGGCGCGTGGCGTGCCGGTGATGTCCAGCGCAGATACGTAGTCGGGATTATTAATAGTCACGCATTTGGTCAGGTATAGTACAATATAATAATCTATATTGGCATGAGTAAATGATGTCCTGTAGTTGTGTTCTGAGCGTACAGCAACTTTGGATATAATGGACTTTGGAAATAATGGACTGTTTTGCCAGGTCACTTGAAGTCCGTTATAAGTGGATTTTACTGTATATGGTGCTATCTGTTCAAAAAAGGAGTCAAAGCACCATCTAGTGGGATCAGATAATATAGCAAATGGTTCAATCGTTCAGGAGATGTTAATAATATAATTTATTAATATATTCAATTCATCCATTATCGTAACTGCTTAATCCCCACTGGGGTCACGGGGGGCCAGATCGAGCCTATCCTGGGAACAACGGGCGCAGGTGGGATTGTTAATATATTATGATTTCTTATTTAAAATGCATATAATGACATTATTGGCCACTGCTATCACTTGTTTTATTATTTAATTAATTTTGTTTGGCATGCAATACATAACTGCGCCATCATAAAGCCTTTGAAATGTATTCATACAACATTCAGTGCACCTTCATGATGCTTTTATTTTTCATTTGTGCAACATTCAGTGCACATTCATAATGCATTCATAGAACATTCATAAGCAGCAAATAAGTATAACTTAACATCCTAACATACCTAAAGAGCATTGATTTACATTAATAACAAGCATTATGTGATTATACAATTATAATGCTCATTAATATATATATTACAGCTGTCGTTTTGTTCATTGAAAGTATTATTAATGCAATGCTATAAGACTTGTTAAGGTATACTTGTATACTGTTCATTAATATATTATGAATGCATCATGAATTGTGAAGTGTGTTTAGGCAAACAGAATTTTTGAAAGGATCAATAACGTTTTGAATCTGAGGTGCATGTGGTAATGTGCTGGTGGAAACCCTGGTATATTTCATGATGGACAGCCGAAAAAGTTCGATAATTACACTGTTGTGTGCTTGAGGAATAAGCCACAGGAAAGAAAATGGAGGGTTGTTAGCTCACAGTGAGTTTTAAATTAATCCAGTTAAAACTGGATTGGAACTGAAATTGTCAATGTGAATTACAGGCAACCCCAGGGATCAGCTTACAGGAGTAGAGACCCAGACTCTGCATCAAGGCTTCCAAGTGAAATGATAGTCTTATTACTTGCTATACTTATATTTATTGATTATGCGTACAAGGACAGCGTTACGTAAACTCAAAGTAACACAAAGTAACACAAATTAACAGGGAAACATCAGGGGGAGCAAAGACAGGTGGAGAGCGTGAGATATGATGATAACTGGAAGAACTGCAGTGCAGTTAACTTTCTAGGCCTTTCTAGACTTCCTGATTCCCTTCCTAAAGCCTTTTATGTTATTGCTGATGAAGTCCCTGTAGCTGGAGACACGGGTGTAGACCCCCGGGAATGCCGCTCGGCCACACCCCCTTCCGTAGCTGACGATTCCAGCCAACTTCCAGATTTCATCACTTCCATCTTTAGAGATGCACATGAGAGGACCTCCTGAGTCTCCCTGTGTGCAGATGTTTGGAGAAACAGACAA